CTTCAGGCTCTGCCTCTTCAACTTTTTTACTCTTTCCATTCTGTTTCTTCCCCATTTTTTGCTAAAACAAAACAAAATAAAACAAAGGATTAAGAAATGTCTTTTTATTTTTGGGTACACTTTAAAGGCTAACTTGCTTATGTTATTGCTGCATTTGACATCTAAATTTTTACTTCTATAGCCCAGAGTAGACACCTTCTGAAAAAATGTAAATCAACAGATAACCAATAAAAGAACACTTAATTCTGCTGGTTTAGCTTAAACCTATCACCTAAGACCTTTCAATGAAAAAAAACCCACTAAAAAAAAACGTGTAAAATACTGTTAGCTTTTCCTAGTCTTATGTGTAGTCCACAAGACCGTGTTCACTAGTTTTCACGCATTTTAATTACAATACAGCTGCAAACAACTAGGCGGTATTAGAAGATCAGATAGAGGAGAGAGTAAGAAGTGACAGGTCTTACTAAGTGAACCACAGACTGGTTCAAATCATATCTCCCAAACTCTGAGACTGCCTTTGCCAATTCAAACACCCATGTTAAAAGCCTCAGCAATATAAAAAAAAGGTTAACTGCAAGAATGAAAACATGGTTCAGTATATTGGTGTTAACTGTAGGGTCAACCAAGGAGACAATGAATAATTTAAAAAGAACAAGATTGTCTTTCCATTATCTCTGCTGACATATGTTTAACTGACCACTTGGAACAAAGCTATAAAGCTGTCATTTCAAGAGGCAGAAATGCTGGATCACTTTAATTTTGTGTGTGTGTGGGGGGAATCCTTCTTTCTTGGTTTCTCAAGAGTCTAGACTGGTAGCCAACAAAACTCACTTTAAACAAGTATTAGCCTAGTGGGTTTTTTGTTTAGTTTTTAAAAGTATAACACTGTTTGCAAGGAGACCAAGCTCAATCCGCTATTTTCTAATAACTCCGATTTCTTACGAGGACTGAAAATGAGTAAATTAAAACCTCCCACAAAACTAAATGGTTAGAAGAGTCTAAGGGGAGAAAAATCCCAAATGTTATACTCATTTTATAATCATTTCACCTTAGAACAGATGCTATTAAAAAAATAATCTTTTATCACCTAGTCACCAAAATCATCTCTCAATATAGCATGCCAGCAGAAAAGTCATTAACAAAAGAACATTAAAATTACGTAGTCGTTTAGAAGAACACAGATACATGACTCAGGCACTGCACCCAGTCAGGTAATTTTCTGCTTCTGTACAGTATAATGAAGGTAACTATGGTAGTGGGAAGAATAAAGAAAAACTGTGGTATGGACAAAAGCTTTTGAGATACCAATCCTAAATGACAAACAAGATAGCTAGGTCTGTGAAGGTAACAGATTAACAGTATAAAGAAAATGACAAAAATAAACACAGAAAGTGAAAAGGACAAACCCTAAGTTTAAGAAAAATTGGCATAAAAAATGATGTATTACACTAGCACTCATAAGCTAAAGTGCTTAACATTGTTTAAAGAAAATCCACCCACTTTTCTCTCACAACACACATGAAATAATTTTAAAAAATTGTATGCAAAAGCAATTTAATTTTAATGGAAGTATCTATTTGCTTTCTCTTTCTATATTCATCCTCATCCTCAAAGCACCAGGCACAGCTGGCTCCTTTTTCACTTAGTACGTGGACACAAGTGACTGTAAAACCAATTCAGTTATATACACTTACAGATTACAGATTAGGGAATTTGAAGAATAGTTTAACTCTGACAGGGCACAGAAAATGCTTTGTGCTTTTTTCCACTAATGGCTTTGAGGAGAATTATTTGTGCCACAGAGACTCATCAGACAGGCTTTTTCTATTTCCTATTTCCCAGGATATTTCATTTAAATGTGCAATCTAATGACAAAAATTATAAATTACAAACTTGCTCTTTTTAGTGTGAAGTTCAAGGGGGAGAACATACAGACCAAAATCAAATGCTTTATTTAGATGTTAACACTCACCTTTACATGCCTGCAATTATTAATGCAATGTGTTAGAAATACTGTGGGAACCACAGTTTTGAATTTCGATTCTCGTGTGAATATTCCAGTGTTTATTGAAACCTAAGAATGCACACTTCGGGTTTAAGAAACTGCTGGAAAGAAAAAAACTTAAATGCTCAGAAGTTCCATAAGGTCTACTCTTCTCTCCTTCCTGGACATATGTGCAATTTGGTACATTTTGTACACTAAGAAAAAAATTGCAATGATTTAAATTTAAGGCCCTTCTGTGTTTTCGAATAAGTCTGAAATATGACAAAGTGCCCAAAGTATTTGAAAGATTCCATGAATTTTGTCTCAGTCTAAGTGTGCTTGCTGTACAATGTACTTCTTTAAACTGCACAATACTGCAAATACTTGATTTCTCTAGAATTCAGCAGTTAGGTGATAGTATGCCAATCGACAAGGGCCTTACTGCTTTGTCCACACTCGATATTCTTTCATGTTACATATATTTATGCTCTTTTATTTCAAGATAAATATACTTAACACTCATTCTGTGCTATTCTCTCGATTAGATTCCTTTAATTTAATTAAGATACTATTAAACCAAGTCAATTATCTCAGTGTAATGACTTCCTTTTTGCCCCCAATTCTCCCCATAACATTGGGGGAAGAGGGCACTGGGGAATAGAAGTGAATGTAAATTTCTCAACTACCGAGATGCAAAGTTATAATTTTGGGGTGAAAACATTTGAGTTAGATCCTTACATATTTAGGTTTTTATTAACTTACCAATGTAGTTTTATTGGAGGCCATTTTTTATTGCAGACTTGAAGAGCTATTACTAGAAAAACGCATGACAGTTAAAAGGAAGTTTGCATGACACAAAAAGGTAGCTAAACACAAGTTTTGTTTGGATTCCAATCCCCACCTATGTAGCACATATTATAAAACATGGATATCAATTCACAGAGAAGCAAATTAGAACTCCTGTGTAAATTATTAGTGATATATGCCTGAAAGTATAACAGTATTCTAACCAAGTGGGTCTAGAAGCCTTACGGGTACCTTCAACAACTTTCCAAGGCAAAATAAGTAAAATTAAAAAGTAGACAATTTTTTCCCAATCCAAATCCCATATTCAGCACTTACTTTAAAATGGCCAAATATTTTGGTTCAAAATCAGACACAGTTATCCCATCAAAATGGTAAACTACAGTGAATTTTTCCTCTAGGCCTTTAATGGTTGTTAAGAGTCACCTAGGTAATTCCAACTTGTTTTTTTCTTGGAAACCCTCCCTCTTTAATCACTCGTTAAAGAACTAAAGGAAAAACACACCGAGATGCTTCAGTCCCATTTCGTGCCACTTAAAAATAAATCACCTCCTTGGCACGGCTATCCGCTCCCCCTGAGACTTGGGTCCCAACCCGCTTAACGAAGCTTAAGCACCCGGCCCCGCCCCCCCAACCCGCAGCTCAGGCCTCGTGGTCAGCGCATCCGCGGGGAGAAACAAAGGCCGCGGCGCGGGGGTTCAAGGGCACTGCGCCACGGGGCCCCGCGCCTCCCCCCGCCCGGCGGCGGCCACGTAACGGGGCGCCCGCCACAGCCTCCGGACAGCGGGCGGCGCAGATGCAGGAAAAAATACACCGCCCGCCCAGAAGAGGCCCCCGTCGCCGACTAAGCCCGGGAGGGGGAGACGGGCCTCTCATTTTGATCGGGAATGGGGGAGGGGAGAAGTAAATGCGCTTTGTCTAAAAATAAGGCGGCTGTCGCCACAGCTCTATACCCTCTCAAGGGCAGTCGCATCCTAACAAACTACAAGCGCCAGCCCCGTGCCCCGCGGTGGGATCTCCGCTCGCCTCGCCACTCTTCTCTCCCTCCCCCCCACCTCGGCGGACGGGTGGGGGTGGTGGGAGCCAGGAACTGGGTAGGGAGTACATGGGGCGCATCTTAAGCACCACCTCGGAGAAACAGCTAGAGAGAAAGAAAAACACCGACTTCACCGCCTCCGTGCTGCTCCGGATTCCGAGTCCACGGCGTCTCCGGCCCTGCACGCCTTCGGCTTCAGCCACATCCAAGGGGGAGGGGGCCGGGGACTCGCGCGCGGGGCCGCTGCCGCGAGAAGGGGGTTGGCACCGCCCACGCTGGGAGACCGTGAGGGGCGGAGCGGGCCCGCGCGCGCGCCCGGCGGCGGGGGAGGGGCCGCAGGCCGCGCTTTGCCCGCCGGGAACCCGAGCCAGACCCAGGGGAAGGGCGGTGGCAACAGCGGCACTTACAGTTTGCGGGGTGGCGCCCAGTGGTCCCCGGAGGGCAGGGAGAGAGAAGGAGGAGCGAAGACAGCGACCAGGATCTTCGCGGACGCGTTCCTGCTTCGCTGCAGCAGCGCTGGCGCCAAAACCGGACTCCGCCCACTTCCTCGCTCCGGGGGTGGGTGTCTCCTAATGCCAGGAAGGGGGGGTGAAAAACTTAGTTGGGGGAGAATCGGGACTAAGAATGCTCCTTTCGGGCCCCCGAGGGCCGGATCCCAAAGGTATTGTCCAGGGTTAGGCTGGTGGAGCGTGAAGTGTAATTTGTCGACTATAAGTCGCTTCGGGTATTCCCTGAAGGGACCCAGTCAGTCCTCTGCTAGGAAAAGGGGTGGGGGGAAAAAACGCAGTGGGAAGGAAGGCTACAAAAATTTTAACGGCGGGAGAACGCGCGGTGTGAGCATTATCACTTGCATTGCTGAGGGGGTTGGACCCCTGGACTGTGCATTAAGGTCCACCCAACAGCTTTAATTTCAAATTGCGCGACCGTTTCTCACCTGCCCTGCGTTAAAGCGGGGACTGTACTCAAATCCCGAAGAGGGAAATACGCTGACTCGAGCCTTCCGCAATTCACTGATTCTACTTACGCAAGTGATGTCAGGTCCTCCGCTGACTGCAAGGGAGGGAATAGTACGTACTTGGCGTAAGGTGGGGCGTAGAGCGATCCCGCCATTGGTGGCAGTTAGGACGTTTACGCAACGGCCTGACGTAAAGACGCTTTGGCGGGGGGTGGGGGGAAGGTTCTAGAAAAGCGGCGGCAGCGGCTCTAGCGGCAGTAGCAGCAGCGCCGGCTTGCCGTGTAGAGGTATCTCTAGCGTTGTTGTTTCTCCAGCGGCGGCAGTTCTCACTACAGCGCCAGGACGAGTCCGGCTCGCGTTCGACCGCGGAGAGCTGTCTCATCTCGCTCGGCTGCGGGAAATCGGGCTGAAGCGACTGAGTCCGCGATGGAGGTAACGGGTTTGAAATCAATGAGTTATTGGAAAGGGCATGGCGAGGCCGTTGGCGCCTCTATGGAAGTCGGCCACCCGTCTCGTGGGAGAGCGGCAATGAAATTGGGCCGCTTTAGAAGCGGTTGGTCTCGGGGTATTTTTAAGAGGGGTCGGTTGGTTTTAGGGCATTTCTGAAGAAGGGTCGTATGCGGATGCCTGTTTGTTCAGCACTTTCCCCACCCTCAGCCTCCCGGCGCCATTTCCCTTTGCTGGGGGTGGGGGATGGGAATCTTCCACATGGCGGACGCAGCCCCGCTTTAGTGAAGTGTGGTGCGGAGGGGGGAATTCTTATTACCCTTTTTTAAAGTAGGCGGGTTTAGGGGCCCTGGCGTCCCTGCGTGTGAGCGCTTCGGTTGCGCCTCAGGTCTTCGGGAGCGAGGCTGCAGAGCTTCCCCTCCCCCCTCCCCGGATTTGGCGGCCGCCATTTTCATTTTTCTCCTCCATCGCCGCGTTTTTCTTTTTAACTGTCTGAAATCTAGTAGTTTGACTCCCATATCAAAGAATAGAATTGGATAACTATTTTTCTTTCTTCTTGGGCCGGTTTCACGCCGTTTTGAGGTGGATAGTGAGTGTTTTGTGAGCTTTGATCTTTAAAGTCCTGCGCACCTCATTAGAGGCGCTCTCCCTTCCTCTCGATGAAATGGCGCCATTGCGTTAGGAAGCCACCGCGAAGAGCAGGCGGGGGGGGGGGCGGGGGAGCGGGCTACAGGGCTGGTTCGCGTAGCTGACGAGCCCCTAGGTAGAGCGACCTAGGGTGTTGGGCCCAGTTCTAAGGCGACCCAAAGTACAAAGGGAACATTTTGTGTTCCAGCCCTTACTTGAGTAACGGTTTTCTTTGCGTCTGCAATTTCGCAGAACGGAAATCTCGCAATCAATTTTAGAAGTAAAATCAAAATTAGGAGCCATCAGTTTAGTACAGATTATGAGTGGCAGAGGGGAAAGGTTATGGGGGGGTATCCGTTTCAGACGGATTCCTTTTCAATTGTAGAATATTTTCGTATCCTAAAATATACAGACACAGTTATTTACTGGTTAAGACTGGGAATTCTTATATGTGATTAGCTAAAAATTGTGAGGAATTGAAGTAAAAAATGACTATCCTCACTGAAAACACGGCTCAGTCCTCAGTGCATGTATTGCTGTACACAACAGTATTAGGCTGTGCCGCTATGTGTTTGAACTTTGTTACTTGCTTTTCTCATTTATATTTGCAATCGTGGTTGATGATTACATTGGTAAGCATGAGGTCTCAAGCGAGGGGGGTGCGCTCCACCGGGGTATTTTCTTTGACCTTAAGCACGCTTATAAAATAAACTTGTAATCGATAGTGGACATCGGGTAAGTTTGGAGAAAACCGAGGTAAGTAATGAGCTTTTGCTTTTGTTAGTGATTTGTAAAAAAATGTTGTAGATGTATTTTCTTTAATTTCAGTAATTTACTTGGGCTTTAAAGACTTGTTTTTCTCCCAATTGAGTATTTAGGAAAAAATTGCCTAAGAATCCAAATATCAATGTAGCAAAAAACAAGTAGATTTTAATAGATTGATATTTAAGTGCATAAGGAGTTAGTATGATAATTTGTTAATCTTTAAATTTTTTTGCAGATTCCTGAAAGCAGTTAACTGCAGGAAAAAAAACTGAATTGCTTATAGTATTTTTTGAACTGATGGGAGAATATGCATGGGGAGGGAGAGACCTCTATAGAACTGGGTTGAGAGCTGTCATGCTACTTGCTGGGAATAAAATTTTTCTTGTATAGAAAATTACATTTGATGTTTTAGTTGTATTACACTCTCACAGCTGTTGGTCCTGGACAAGAGACCTCTTTTGGTTTCTGAATATTTTTTAAAAATTTATTAATCTAGTCACCTCAAAATCAGATGACCGCTAATGGTTCCTTAACTGGCAGTCAAAAATTCAGGACTGTTAGTGCAGCATATTTGCTTGCTGGTTTATGGGGATTGAAAGAATTCAGATCAGGCTTTTTTTTTGTTTTGCTTGTAAAATTAGACACGTGTACTGTATAGTTTACCAGATGGCTAATAAGTTTAACATACTTGAGCTTTCTGATTTTTTTTTCTTTTTTAATTTAAAAGGAATCAGTTTAGGATAAGTGGTGGTACTCAGCAGTGGTCATTTAAACATTTTTATGGATTTTGAAAAAGTGAAATCATTATAGTGAATGTATTTGTTCATGTCATGGTGGTTCACCCCGTAGTAATTCAGAGTTTTTCTGAGTTGTCAGCAAAAGTACCAAAAACCTGAGTACCCACAAAATCATTGTTAATATTTTTTAAATCATTGTTAATATTTTCTAAGGTTTAGTTAAGCTTTAGTTGGTCACAAAAGTCAGCATTGGTCAGAGGTGAATTGAATTCTAAGGATATTTTGCTACATGTATTATTGAACTTTTAAATCTTTACTCCCAATAGTTGGTAAAATGGGGAAAGAATGACTTATTGTGGTACATTAGAATCTCCACCAGAGGGAGCAAGGAAGTATCAGACAATTTAAATCCTGAATAGTAAACTGGATTGTAATTAAGGAACCAACTATTTTTATAATAAAAATATTTAAACTGAGTAAAGTGAACTTACCTTTTCTAGGATACAGAGTTGAATGCAAATTCTGGGTTCTTTAACCCTTCAATGACCAAGGAATAGATTTGCTCCTTTCTCTTCAGAAAGTTTTTTTTTTTTAAACTAAGTGATAATTAAATTTATTTGAAATGTCAAGTAAATTTAGATCAAGCATTATGACTGAAACGTGTGTAGTTCAGCTGACGCAATTTTTGGTGTAACACAACTAATATACAGTTTAACATATGGTTTAAATTTGATGTAAGTTTTTTTTTTCCCCTCCAGAAAACTTTAGAAACTGTTCCTTTGGAGAGGAAAAAGGTACTCTGCCAGCAGGTCACCTTATATTTAAGAATTTAATTTCCTGCATACAAAGAGAAAATGTAAATAAAAATTGAAATGGTGTTTTCCTTTGCAGAGAGAAAAGGAACAGTTCCGTAAACTCTTTATTGGTGGCTTGAGCTTTGAAACCACAGAAGAAAGTTTGAGGAATTACTACGAGCAATGGGGGAAACTTACAGACTGTGTGGTATGTTAAATATATAAAAGTGCCTTCACATACTAGTTCTTCCACCATTAGGCTTCTGTTTTTAAAATGCTAAGTGAATCCTGGAGAAATTTACTTTCAGATCTATGGGCTTCATTTAAAAATGCTTTTAATTCAACAAGTACGTAGATGAAAAGCTAAAGTTTTCCCCTTTGGTTTTGAAGGTAATGAGAGATCCTGCAAGCAAAAGATCAAGAGGATTTGGTTTTGTAACTTTTTCATCCATGGCTGAGGTCGATGCTGCCATGGCTGCAAGACCTCATTCAATTGATGGGAGAGTGGTTGAGCCAAAACGGGCTGTTGCAAGAGAGGTGAGCATAGTATATAACTTTGTGAAGACATTGTAATTTTTGAAATAATTTTGCTGTATATGGCTCAATGGTTTTTTGTTCTCTTAAAGCTATGGTGGTTGTCCTAGAGTCATTATTTTTCAATAGACTGTTTTACAAGCGTTTGCTTTACCACAGGAACGCATTTACCAATGCGTTTTTTACCAAACACATTTACCAATGATAAGAAGATAAAAGTCATTTGTGGTACTCAGATGTTTTTAATCATGTTTGGTTTCTTCTGTCATGACAACTTCTCTCTCATTACTACAGGAATCTGGAAAGCCAGGGGCTCATGTAACTGTGAAGAAGCTGTTTGTTGGTGGTATTAAAGAAGATACTGAGGAGCATCATCTTAGAGATTACTTTGAGGAGTATGGAAAAATTGATACCATTGAAATAATTACTGATAGGCAGTCTGGAAAGAAAAGAGGCTTTGGATTTGTTACTTTTGATGACCATGATCCTGTGGATAAGATTGTGTGTAAGTCTGTAAGCACAAGATGTATTTCCATAGATAACATTTTGGATATGTTAATGTCTACACTTTTATTTAGAAGTAAATGATACAACTTATAAGTTACAGTGTGGCTGATTTAATGGAGTCTGAACTTTCCCTTCCAGTGCAGAAATACCATACTATCAATGGTCATAATGCAGAAGTAAGAAAGGCTTTGTCTAGACAAGAAATGCAGGAAGTTCAAAGTTCTAGAAGTGGAAGAGGAGGTAATTTTAATTTTATTTTTTCTTTAAAAATGTATTTGTATAAATGTTTGTTACTAACTAAACCATTTATCACAGGCAACTTTGGTTTTGGAGACTCGCGTGGTGGTGGTGGAAATTTTGGACCAGGACCAGGAAGTAACTTTAGAGGAGGATCTGGTAAGTTGTAAATTCTAAATGTTAGAAGTGGTGAATGTGCTTGATTAACTGACTCATATTTGATTAGAATCAGGAAATAAATCTGACCTAATTTTAAGATTTCTTAAGTAGGTGGGGTGTTCTGATTTGACCAGGCAAAGAGGTGATAGGTGATAGTTCAGGATAAACTCGCCCTGGCTAGTGAGGTTCAGTGGGTTGAGTGCCAGCATGTGAACCAAAGGGTTACCGGTTCAATTCCCAATCAGGGCACATGCCTGGATTGCTGGCCAGTTCTCCAGTAGGGGGCGTGTGAGAGGCAACCATGCCCTCTTTCTCTAAAAAATAAATGAAATCTTAAAAAAAATAAGATACTCTTGCAGCTGTTAAAGGAAAGTCAAATCCAGTATGATCTTTAATTTAAAAAGTCAAAATGACTTTGCAACCACCTCAAAAACTTCAAATACACTTTGTGAAAATACTATAGAAGCTTTGCCTGTGGGCCTTAAAAAGTGTATTAAACATTTTTGGTTTAGGCTTTAAATAATATCTGAACTAAAATAGGGTATAACCCCCAAAAACTTCTGTGTGTCCCATTTAATATTGTTCTTACAGGTAAATAGACGGAATTTCTTAAATTTAGGCTTGCCAAGTCCCCAAATTAGGCTGTTACCCTGATCTAATTGCTTACACTTCTGTGTTTATTTTTAAGAATATAGTAATAGCATTCTGGTGTTGGGCTCAAGGGGCAGTGATGATTCCTAGTAATCATCAATAGTACTTGATGGGAAATGAGGAACGGTGGAAAAGAAACTAGGCTATATTAATCAATCTTTTTTCTTCGCTAACAGATGGCTATGGAAGTGGTCGTGGATTTGGGGATGGCTATAATGGGTATGGAGGAGGACCTGGAGGTCAGTGTCTTACATATTTTTGACTTACAGGACTTAACAGATGTAATCACATTTTTTCTTTTTTGTCTAGTTTAACGTATACATGAGGTTTTTCTTAATGCTTTACATTTTTACCTTTTTTAAAGAGATGTATAACTAAGGGAAAGTATAGTTTTGTATGTTGTTGTAAGTTGCAAAATTATGTGAGTGGATTTTAAATGAGAATTTAAAGATGCCATCATGCTAACCTGTTCCTTAAGCAAAAGAATTGGACACAGATATGATACTTCTGTACTATTTCCTGGAAAAAGTAGAGAATATTGTATATGACTCATGTAAGGGAATCTATGTAATAACAGTGGTGATGTCTTAGCCCTTAACAAGATTAGTGATTTTGGGGAAACTAAAGGAACATATCCAAAATACACAAGGGTACTCCTTGGGTCCAGCTAAGGTTGAGCGCCATTGTTACATACCTAGTGATATATTGGATGTTTTAGTTGGAATTCAGTGAAGGGTGATACTTGCTGGCAAATGTTCTACTAAGAAAGATATTTAAAATTGAGCCAGTAAAAGAAAGACCTTAATTTTATCACCCATTACACATAATCAAGTTTCACATATATCTCACTATTTCCAGGTATGCTTTGAAATCCAAACTTTTTTGAGAAAGAGTTCATATATTAGATAATGTGAGGTTACCAATTTAAGTTTTTGAGTTGCCTGTAAGTTCGCTAATTTCTTGTCCTCCACCTCACTTCTACTCAGGTGAAGGGTAGTATGCATATTTTTTTCCCAAACAGTAATTCATAGGAAAATCAGTCAGGAACTTAAATCTTTTGGAGCAGTTGGGGGATGCGGTAGCTCTTGTTCTGTTTGCCTATACCTGCAGCCCTCACAACCCTTAACACAAAATACAAATAGTATTTCAAGGTTTTTTTTAAAGAGGAACTTTTAATATCTTTAGTATTAAGGAAGAGCAACAACATTAATTGGTATTTGTTTCCATAAAGGTTTTATCTACTTGGTTATGGTACGTACTCCCCATCCCCAAATGTTTACAGGGATATTCTATTCTGACCTAGAGGCTATTCTGGAAGAGATTTCATAAGACAAATACTTTACTGGTAAAAATGTGTTTTTAGAAAGCTGGAAATGGGTGTGATAAGACAGTTCAAATGGCATTGAAAATATTAAGTAATTACTTAAAGGCTTATTTTATAATAGGTGGCAATTTTGGAGGTAGCCCTGGTTATGGAGGAGGAAGAGGAGGATATGGTGGTGGAGGACCTGGATATGGCAACCAGGGTGGGGGCTACGGAGGTGGTTATGACAACTATGGAGGAGGTAATAAATTCACCTGCATCCTTTATGTGGGAATTTGGAGTGGAATTAATGACTTATTAATGAGATTTTTTTTTTCATTTCATTGTTGTCAACAGCTGCCTTAAAAAACTAGAATTGCAGATAGGTGTTGTGCATTTAATTCTGATTTGCTCTTTTGGGGAGATTTGTGTTAAATACTTAGCATGTATAACCGGTTTAATGTTTGTATTCTGAGGCTCATTATGCAAAACTTGTATTTCACCTTTTTTACAGGAAATTACGGAAGTGGAAATTACAATGATTTTGGAAATTATAACCAGCAACCATCTAACTATGGTCCAATGAAGAGTGGAAATTTTGGTGGTAGCAGGAACATGGGGGGACCATATGGTGGAGGTAATTTGTTATATTCCTAAAATTATTTTGTGTGATTAAAGAAAAGATTAGCCTTAGTCTTCTGACATAATCTGAAATGGGGAAGATAATGAGACTTATAGGATTACTGAAAATTGCAGGAAATACTTAAATTGTACCATAAACTTGGGTTTGGTGTGATGGATGAGATGTTAAGTGGTTTTAGAAGTTGGGAAAGGAGTTGAGATGTTTTATGTGGGGTGTTTATTTTCTTTAGCTGGTTATTTAAGAGAGCCAAGTAAAATTGCAGTGCAAAGTGGTATAAGTTTGCAAGAGTTATCTCTCTAAAAATTAACTTAATTTTTTTATTTTCATTGGTTTGGTTTTTTTTTTTTTTTTTTTTTTTTAAGAGGGAGGAAAGGAGAGAAACATTGATCTGTTATCTCACATATTTATATAGTCATTGGTTGGTCCTTGTATGTACCCTGATCAGGGATTGAACTTGTAACCTTGGCCTCTTGGGATGAAGCTCTGACAAGCTGAGCTATCCTGCCAGGGCACATACAAGTTATTCTTGAGAAAGTTTTTACTAGGACCAAATAGATTTACCATATTTTGCTGCATATAGTGCATGCCCACGTTTTTGGCCCAAATTATCAGGGGGGTAAAATCTTTCATTTTTTTTTTTAATTTCACTTATTTATGTTTAGAAATGATTTATTATATTCCAGGGTAGTATTTTGCATATGGGTATTGTGATTGCTTTATAGAGTCAGCACTTTTAATACATAAGCATATATGAATTTAAAACGATTATATAGATAAAGAATTAGTACTACCCATGTAAAATGCGTGTCATTTTTCCTCAAAAATTTGGGCAAAAGTGCACATATACACAGCAAAATATGGTATCTGAAACTGAATAGTAATTACATCTCCCAAGTAATTAAGATAATTAGAAACAATGGGTTATGATGTGTTCTAAAGCATGTTTTGGTGTTAGGTAGGATTAATAACCATTACTGTGCTAATCATGGGACACTGAAGTAAACTTGCTTTGTCCTGGTCCATTAATTTTAGGAAACTATGGTCCTGGAGGAAGTGGAGGAAGTGGGGGTTATGGAGGGAGAAGCCGATATTGAGCTTCTTCCTATTTGCCATGGGTAAGTAGCTTTTAAGTTTTTATACTATTATTGTCTGGGGAGACCTAGCTGTCAGGAGTAAAAGCTTTATAGGATCATGTTATCTTTCCTTAAAGTCTGGTTAGATGGATAATTTCATAACCTATTTTTTTTTTACTCTTTACTTCTGTTGAAACAGGCTTCACTGTATAAATAGGAGAGGATGAGAGCCCAGAGGTAACAGAACAGCTTCAGGTTATCGAAATAACAATGTTAAGGAAACTCTTATCTCAGTCATGCATAAGTATGCAGTGATATGGCAGAAGACACCAGAGCAGATGCAGAGAGCCATTTTGTGAATGGATTTGGATTATTTAATAACATTACCTTACTGTGGAGGAAGGATTGTAAAAAAAAAAAATGCCTTTGAGACAGTTTCTTAGCTTTTTAATTGTTGTTTATTTCTAGTGGTCTTTGTAAGAGTGTAGAAGCATTCCTTCTTTGATAATGTTAAATTTGTAAGTTTCAGGTGACATGTGAAACCTTTTTTAAGATTTTTCTCAAAGTTTTGAAAAGCTATTAGCCAGGATCATGGTGTAATAAGACATAACGTTTTTCCTTTAAAAAAATTTAAGTGCGTGTGTAGAGTTAAGAAGCTGTTGTACATTTATGATTTAATAAAATAATTCTAAAGGAAATTGTGTAATTATAGACTTTTTATTTTAAATAAGTTAAGGAGTGGGTAGTATAATTAAGGTCCATTGCAAAGCTGTTGTTGTATTTGTGTAAGATAAATGCTGGTCAGATGTAAGTGTGTTGTCTGCAATTCATCAGGATTAAATTACCTAGATAACTTAAGGGATATCTCTGCAAGGAGAAACACCTTTTTAGATCTTTTAGATGCTGCTTCTTCAATGCAAGGAAAGGAAATAACCCCAGCGAGGTACTCTTCAGGGATACAGGTCTAGTACAAGAAAACTCTTGACGGCTACTAAGTTCAGCCAGTCTTAAAAAACTGTGCTGTCTCTACAAAACTTTAACTACAGTAGTTTATAAGGATGCCAACGAAAGCTGAGGGTGTAGAGCAAATAGTTCTAAGCTTCAGTTAAACTTCTTTAGGTAAGATCTTATTTACTTTTCCTTTTTTAATTTTCCTCCCCAAAAGATAAACTAATACTCTTCAATGGTCTTTCAGTATAGTGGTTCTTATGTAGTTTAACATAGCTATAAATTGAGTTTAACAATGTATAAACTCAAGAGAATAATTTATAAACCCTGTTTTCCAATCTGTCATTTACTTAAATTATTTTGATTGTTCCCCCCCCTTTCTTTCCTATCCCCCTCCCCCTCTATGAAGATTCGGGTGCTTAACATATCATTTTTTTCCCTGCTGGAATTTTAGCATTGATATGAACCATGGACAAGTATATTCTGCTGCCACAAAGACTGTAAAGTGCTTCATTTCAACAGCTGAGGCAAGCCAAGTGGTTAATAAAGCTTTTCTTGGTTCCTTCAGTGGTGTTGGTAGTAAAATGGTAGGTAAAAGTTAGGCTGCAAGTTCAATAAATCATTCCCATTGTTACAGCCTTGTGTATTCACATTTCTTGGATCAAGCATTTGAGTGAACTGGGATTTTTTTTTTTATTAAAAATAAAGACAATTTTGTTTTATTTGATACGGTTTGTTCTAGCATTACATGCCTATCAGGATCAGACTAAGGAGAGGTAGGGCCGAATGGTTGAATGTTTCCAGATAATAGTTTATACTTCCACTGTCTGTCTACATTATAAATCTGTATGCATCCAGTACTAAATACTGGGGTATGAATGTGATGATTCTTTCCCAATTCCCTATCTTATAGGAGAGATTTAGGTTGGCTGCTGAAATTCATTTCTTAAGTGTCATCAGAGTTTGATTACCTGGCTTTAATTGCCTTTTCAGGAATGTGATAATCAGGGCATATTCTACTGTATGCACCAGTGAGTCTTCTTTGATCCTAAGACCACCACTGAAGTTATTTAGGTTCTTTGGACAAACATGATAAACTTCTTCAGATACTTTCTTTTTCCTTTGGCAGGAAGGTGTCTTGCTGCAGGTAACTAATGAAGAAGTGGTCAACCACAGAATCTTCAAGAAATAAGAAATTCTGTATCATCTGAAAGTAGTTCTTGTTGGTGCCTTCATTTTAAAAAGCACTCTTTAAGATTAAAGGGAAATGTTTTCTGATAAAATACAAACCTCATTTAGTATAGGTTCTTAATATAAAAGAATTATAAGTTGAGTATTGTTTGTAGAAGTAACATCAAATTAACAAGAGAGAGAAATGTACCATGTCTTAAGTTAGGTTTTGTGAGTAGACAGATTAAAGTTCTATTTTTAAATATAAAGTTTATAAAATAAATACTTTTGTACCCAACTACTTGGTGTAATGTTTACACATAAAATGTGTGAATCTTGTTCTATAAACATTCACTTGTCTCAGTTGCCATCCCCTAGATTTTTAAAGCAGTTTGACAAAGGTGTGCATATTACCATTTTCTCTTGCAATATTAATAGACATGAGAAGACAAATGTGGACATTATTGGCTGTCCCTAATAAAAATGCCATTCTTTATACACTGTATATTCAGCGTTTGAATGCTGCTAGTTTTCTGGCTTTACCTTGTGTGTTAAACATCACTGGTGCCATTTAAAGTACTACAGATTTTAAGCAGCTAGAGTGGTCCAAATTTAAGTGGTTATGTGACGCACTGAGGGGAAAAAAAGTTCCAGTTTCCCAAAGTGATACTGCAGTTTATACTGAGTATTGGTAGCTGCCTTTGAAGGGTTAAGTACAATGGGTGGAATTAAGTAGCAATAATTTTCGTCTTGGACATTACCTAACATTTTTAAGAAACTAACATGAAGGAAACAGCAAGGTTGACCTTTTCTTTGGGTTTTGATAATGAGGTATCAGGTAAGTCAAACCAGCAATGGCTAGCAAAGCTGTTTTAACTACTCAAGGAAACTCAGAAGGCTTGTCCTCATATTAAGTTGGCACAATGACGGTACCCAACCTTTAACCAACACAAATTGAGTGTTTAGGTAGAGTTTATATGACAAGATTTCTAAAATGGGTAACTATTTAGAGCGGCTGTTTAACATTTTTCATTTCATGGCACACAAAATTCTGCAACACCAAAAAGTAGTTTTGTTTGGATTTACAAAATAGTAAATACCCTTTTGGTTTCAAAGTGTTTTTAAAAACCAGGTTTCCTGCACATGTAAGGATTTATGCTACCAAGAATTAACCATAGAAAACTTGTGATATGATAAACAAGGTACAACTCTGTTAATGACATTTGGTTCAAGATGGCATTTGCACAAATGGATACTGTGTTGGCTGTTCTGATTTATTCATTTGACAATGAAGGGGGGAAAGTCCAGTGCCCCGATTAAAAAGGCGTTGCATGCATGTTAAGAATTGTGGTACACGGGTTAAATGTTACTGGTACAGGTTGATAATTTTTATCTCAGGCTTAACATTTCGGTACCTAGATGAATAAACTTACCTCATAAAGTACTTGCAGGACAGTTTGGATTTGGAAGTTTACCTTTGTGATTCTGGCCAAAGCTCAAGATTGCAGTTAGGTGACTGGACTAGGACTGGTAAATTTACTCCTCAAATGGTGTGACAGGGCTGGCAGAGTTGGTTTTGGCTATTTTCTCCCCTATTGAACAAGAAGCTTCAATGTTAGGAAGTCACTATTCTGGTGGTTGCAAGAGGGTTGTATTCTATTACTGAGAGGCAATCCTGATTGAAGGTTGGCTCCCACACAGGACTGGAAAAAAAGTGTAGAACTGGATGTTAACAGGCTTTGCAGTAATAGTTTGGTGTAGGAATGCAAATCAGGTCCTGTAAAAGTGATTCTTAACAAGTTGGTACTAGCACTAAATGTTTAAATACTGAGCTAAGTAATTTAGGGAGGCTTTAAAAGAATGACTTGCCCCTCCTCATGAATAGTTTGAAGTGTGGGGATGTACCTTTCCAGGAAGAACACTAAGTGGAATGCCCAAAATACATGCACGTTCTCAGGCTGATTGTATTTAAATCTGTCTTTATGGAACTGATGGTACCCAGATGGCTGGCATACCCATAAAATTTTAATGCTAGGCCACTAGTACTGCAAATGACTTTGCTAGAGGTAGGTAGGTGAACCAGTGGATTGCCAAAAGAGCAGGGGGAGCTGATCTGGATGTGTAGGAAATTTATGCTCAAGAAATCCATATACATGGGTCATACTGGTATCTTAAGGATTGGTTTTGGAAATTGGTCAGTATTGAACTGAGCATGGCCTTGACAGGGAACAAATCAAATATTCAGAGACTTGCTGAGAGCACATTTGTTTATGCACGCTTGAAGTTTCTGTAGGGCCTTAAATTGACAGCTACAGGAGGCGCCCCACCCACCAACAAAAAGTAGCTTTATGATGGATGCCAGAAATGTTAAGACTAGTTTTGTGTTTGAACCAATTTAAAATGGAATTCCGGTTTGGGTTAGTAAATTCAGAAGTGGGGAAAAGATGCTCACCAGAGAATTATTTCAAGGAAGTTAAGGACTAATTCTACAAACTTCAATTTAAGGGTCTAGATCTCATGCCCCTTGGTTGGTTTTAACCTCACAGCAAGTAATTGGGAACAGATTTTGCCCCATTTAATGGAACTGTTAATTGCTTATTTATGTTAAGATTGGTTTGGCCATTAAATTACTAAATAAGGAATGGGTAGCTAAGTAAAGAGCTTGGTTTAGTAGTTAAATTCAATAAAATTTCAATTGGGTTTTTGGCCTTTTGAAACTGACTAGTTCGTGGAGTCTGAAGCTGAATAAACTTGGTTCTTTTTGTCATAACCCTACCTTTAATTTCAGGATAACCTGCATGTTAAAACCGAACTGGTAAAAGCCGTCAACTCCTATCAATTTCTTAAATACGGAGTTCAAACAAAAATCTTAATGAGATGTCTCTGCTAAAACTGGATTATCAAGGATATTTTGAGTAAACAGCTTCAATTTATTCTCAATCAGTGTGACGTGTGGTATCTAGAAATTAGATTTCATTTATTGACCTTTGGTTACAATGCACGGAAACAACTTGCAGGCTTAGTTTAGTTTTGTTACAAAATGGTGAGTCTAGGACTATTATATGCGTTTTTTTCAATTGCCAAATTGGTGTTCGCCAACATTTCATTGTGGTCTTGGTACTTCCAGGGATTTGGGGAGTCTTACAATTAGGCAATTAAGGCCAATAGTTTTTTAAACCAAATGGATAATTTTGTAGACTTGAAATTTGTGGTTAAGTGCCCTCAAGCTATAATCTAAATACTAAAGGTTAAAACATACAAGGGTTGCACCTATCAACATTTAAGGTTGTAATCATACAAAACTGGTCAGAAGAATGATGTTTGTATCAGGCATTACTGTGGCAAAATCCAGGGCTTGAAAGAAATGTATAGACCCAATTTAAATTACAGGAAGTTTATTATAAAAATCCACTTACAAAATACTGCATTTTTGCAACCCAATACTTTGTGATTCTACATTGTTGGGCGAGTGATTCTTAATGATAGAGATATGTGACAACACCATTCTTGTTAATTCATTTGCATTTCAGTGCCATTTTTAGGTCAACTGTTGAAGTCCATTTGCTCCTTACTCCTGTTTCATAGTTTCAGTATTTCCACTTCTCTGCTTTCAGAGTCTATGCTCTTTGGACTTTTTCTAGTATTGGTTTGTGTTCATGTATGGCTTGTGATGTTTTCACATTAGGCTACAAGAGTTTGGTGAGACAGGAATGTTACCGATGAGGTCATCCCTACAGGCTGCCTTTACTTGCCCAGGAGCTGTTTACCTACACACAACGTAACCCATGACATTAGAGGTCTTGTTCTCCGCCAGTAGACCCTTAATGCACTTAAAAAATTCCTCACCCGAGGCTATGTATGCTGATCAGAAAGGGAGAGAAAGAAACCAACTGGGAGGCAACCGGGATCAAATACAAAATCCTTTGGTGTACAGGAGGATGCTCCAACTGAGCCATCTGGCCAGAGCCTAATGCACTCTTGACACCATGGTTTACAGCTTGGCCATTTTCTAGTTTATTCCATACAGTACTAAGTCCAAGTGTGGGTTCTCTTTACCAGTTTAATAGACTACCCTGACTACAATTTTGATTGAGTCTTAACATGCTGCTGTATTTGCTAGATACCTCTGTTCCTGAATGTGGGTACTTAGGATGAAAAATATCCAAGGTTAATTTTTAAAAAATAAATTCAAATTCAAGTATAAAACATTTCCACAGAGAAAAAGTTATAATTTAAGTATTTTAAGACTTCAAATAGCTTTCGAAAAGCTCACTGTATATATACTTCAGTGCTTATGAACTAAGTGAGAATGTTAAGGCTACTTTGCATTTCAAGGCAAAAACAAATACATTTAAAAATAATTACATCCAGTGTTTGCTGATTTTGAAGTGACCATCTTGCTAAAAAATGGGTACCAAAGTCATAGGAAGTTTTCATGTCACCTTACTCTTCGTATATATTTATGAATTGTGCATATAATGCAGGAGGACTTCATGGACAGGTGTGGCTTTTCCCAAATATCCCACAACTTGATTCTGACATCCTTAAACTTGTCCATATAATCTTCAAAATACAGCATTAACTGTTTCAAGTAGCAGTACTTAAAAGATACATAACGAGGTAAAACCTTTAAGATTTGTAATCCATGTCATCTGAACATTACTACTTTATACATATTAATGGAATCCATTTTTAATTTCTTCTTTCACTTTTTCTCTTTCCCTTCTGAGTTTCCTTTTTGTGGCTTGAGGTCACCAGTTCCTTGGGTATAATCCAAACACTTCCGTCATGGCTGCACTGAAGAGCATATTCATTTGGATTGACTGGCCTACCTTCTTCATCTCTTAACCTACTAAAAATATCATGATAAAGGTCATGCAGTTTCTGTTTCATTATGTTAATAGCTTTGTTGCACTGGGCTCGCTCTCTCTTGAGGGTTTCCTTCTTTGCTTTTAAGTTACATACATCATCTTCTAGATTCAAAATTATGTCCAGCTTGCGCTTACGACAGTTCTGAGCAGCAACTTTATTTTTTCCTCTTCGTCTAATGTCACGGATGAGTGATACTTGTAAATCTGTCAGGTAGTGACTGCTTAGCATGCTGTTGAAAGAATCAACAGGCATGTGGACAATTTCATCTATAGAAAAAGGGATGTGCAGAGCTTTAGCACGGCGTTCATCGCGGCTTAAGTGTGTGTCTGTGTCATTCAGGTACCTACTCATTTTGTGTGACTTCTCTGGCCATGAAAAAGATTCAGAAGTGGATTCGGGTACACTTGGTTGTAAGTGATAAGTGTGGTTATGGAGTATGTGTTGAAACGCAAGGTCCTGATCAAAACCAGAATCACCTCTTAAATCCATGGGACAAGTCTTACTGGGCTCTGGGTAGTAGCCACCTACAGCACCTTCTAAATCACAGTGGGAAAGAGATTCAAGGTCACTACTAGAACCTATAGCACCTTCACAGGTAGAATTAGACTTGGTGACAGAGGAACTATTGTGGCTTGAATTTAAGGAAAGCCCAGAATCAGAATCTGGTTCCTTAAAAAGGTGAGAAACTTCCAGTGGATCAAAACCACCTGCAGCCAAAGACACTGAATTTATCTCATCAAACATGTTCATATCAAGGTCATTTAGAAAGTCTTGGCTTGTCAGATTTCTTATCTGATGGTCCACAGGTGGAAGAAATCCTGTCAGATTGGTTCTAGGAAGGGTCTGTTCAGGATTGGCAGTATGAGAATTTAACTGCAGAAATGGCTCTTGAGGCTGTGAAGTCCTTTCTACCAGATCTCTTCTAAATGTATTGTCAGGACACAGCAACATGGCCTCATGGAGATTTACGTCATGACTTATAGCCTGGCTAAAATTTACATTATAATGTGCTGAAGAATTCATGCCATCATTAATACTCCCTGGAAGAGGAGGTATATCGCCCAGTGAGATGTCCTGAAAATGGAAAAAAGCATTTTAATGCACATAATTCAATTTCAGAAGTTCTATTATCTAATACAGCATCTTCTTTCCTCACGTTTGTCAGTTCTCTATACAAATAGGATGTGCTGTTGGCTATGAATAGCTTTCCCCAGTTAAATAATATAGGCAACAATACATGGTATGAGCCCAATCATGGCAATTTAGAAAAGTTAGTAAAAAACTAGCCTTATTATTAAATCATTCTCAAGTTATATGCAACTCTCATCCTAGCTGTTGGCAGTCTAAACCCAGAGTGGAGCAGCATGGATAGTGAACAGCTATAGTGTAGTAGTCAGGGTTGAAGAGAAGGGGGTCTTTTTTTTTTTTTTTTTTTTTTTGGAAGTAAATCAGACCAATAAAGTGTAATGACACAAAAGCTACCAGAAAAAATAAAGCTATGTCTCAGTGTATCACGTTTACTTCCATTTTGATCCAATACGAATTACATAAATTTGGTTAGACCTTTGTGATTATTACTTGGAGGAACAGTATACATACTTGGCTAACTCTCCAAAGTTAAAGTATTTCCATTAAAAGTAATCCTAAGTCTGTGCTTCAAGAATAATGCGCTGGATATTTACTGTATTTAAACAACTACACCCTTCAGGTATAAAAGTTATATTTATGCACAGAGGTGAATGCAGGTATTTTCCTGCTAGGATAAAAGCCAAGGTTCCAGTTACCTCTAGCGAACTTTCAGGCTGTGATGAAAGTAACTGGAGTAAGTCTTCCAGAGAGAAGGATGTGTTGGTGCCATATAGATGTCTCTGTAGAAAAACACAAAAGGTGCATCATTCATTAAAAGACAGTGTGTAAGTACCATGTGCTAACCGACTGCGCCACTGGAGTGCCGTGTTACTGGGTCATTCTAATGTTACTCTTGCTTATTTTACTACTTTGTAAGATGCAACTCTCATCCTTGCTGTTGGCAGTCTAAACCCATATTGTGGAAGATCGCAGACAATAACAGCTATAGTGAAGTACAGTGTTGGTTGAGGGTAGGGTTTGCCTCTTTTTAAAGTAAATCAGACCAATAAAGCATAATGAAGACACAAATGCTACCAGAAAAAAAGCTGCCTCCGTTTGTCACGTGTTTACTGCCATTTTGATTCAGTGTGAATTATATAAATTTGGTTAGACCTTTGCAATTATTACTTAGAGGAATAATGACTAATTCTCTAAAGTTGAAGTGTTTCTATTAAAAGTAGTCCTAAGTCTGTGTGCTTCAAGAGTAATGTGTTGGATATTTATTATTATGTAAGTAAACAACTATGTTCTCCAGATATAAAAGTTATATTTATGCACAGAGGTGAATGCAGGTATTTTCCTGCAAGGATAAAAGCCAAGGTTCCAGTTACCTCCAGAGAATTTTCAGGCTGTGATGAAAGCAAGTGAAGTAAGTCTTCCAGAGAGAAAGATGTGTCATTCCCATTTAGATGTCTCTGTAGGAAAACACAAAAGGTGTACCATTCATTAAAAGACAGTGTGGAAGTACCATGTGCTAACTGACTGCCACTGGAGCTCCTTGTTACTAGGCCATTCCAATGTTGTTACAATCTTATTTTACTATGTGTTTTTTAAAAAGACTTTATTTTTAGAGAAGAAGGTAGGGAGGAAGGAAGAGAAACATCAAATGTGTGGTTGCCTCTCGCATGCCCTCTCCTGGGGACCTGGCCCACAAAGTAGATATGCCCAGACTGGGAATCAAACTGGTGATTCTTTGGTTCCCAGGCTGGCGATTAATCCAGTAAGCCACACCAGTTGGGGCTTATTTTTACTACATTATAAGATGCAACTCACCCTTGCTGTTGGCAATCTAAATCCACATTGTGGAAGATCATGGACAATTAACAGCTATAGTGAAGTGTATGCTGGTTGAGCGTACGGTTTGCTTCTTTTTAAAGTAAATCAGACCAATAAAGTATAATGAAGACACAAGCGCTACCAGAAAAACAAAGCCTCCTCAGTTTGTGATATGTTTACTGCCATTTTGATTCAGTATGAATTACATAAATTTGAATGATGATTACTTGGAGGAATAATACACATATTTGGCCTATTATCTAAAGTTGAAGTGTTTCTACTAAAAGCACTCCTAAGTTGCCCTGGCTGGTATGGCTCAGTGATTGCCAGACAGCCTGTGCTGTGAACCAAAAGGTCATCGGTTTGATTCCAGGTCAGGGTGCATGCCTCAGTCAGGCCAGGTCCCCAGTTGGGGGTGTGTAAGAGGCAACTGATTGATGTTTCTCTCCCTCTCTTCCTCCCTTCCCCTCTCTAAAAAGTAATCCTAAGCCTGTCTGCTTCAAGAATGATGCGCTGGATATTTATTATTACGTAAGTACTTAAACAACTATGTCCTCCAGGTATAAAAGTTCTATTTATTCACAGAGGTGAATGCAGGTATTTTCCTGCAAGGATATAAGCCAAGGTTCCAGTTACCTCTAGTGAACTTTCAGGCTGTGATGAAAGCCAGTGAAGTAAGTCTTCCAGAGAGAAAGATGTGTGGCTGCCATATAGATGTCTCTGTAGAAAAACACAAAAGGTGCATCATTCATTAAATTAAAAGACAGTGTGTAAGTACCATGTGCTAACCGACTGCGCCACTGGAGCTCCATGTTACTGGATCATTCTAATGTTACTCTTATCTTGCTTATTTTACTACTTTGTAAGATGCAACTCTCATCCTTGTTGTTGGCAGTCTAAACCCATATTGTGGAAGATTACAGACAATAACAGCTATAGTGAAGTACAGTGTTGGTTGAGGGCAGGGTTTGCTTCTTTTTAAAGTAAATCAGACCAATAAAGCATAACGAAGACACAAATGCTACCAGAAAAACAAAGCTACCTCCATTTGTCACGTGTTTAGTGCCATTTTGATTCAGTATGAATTATGTAAATTTGGTTAGACCTTTGCAATTATTAGAGGAATAATGACTAATTCTCTAAAGTTGAAGTGTTTCTATTAAAAGTAATCCTAAGTCTGTGTGCTTAAATAATAATGCACTGGATATTTATTATTACATAAGTATTCAAACTATGTCCTCCAGGTATAAAAGCCAAGGTTCCAGTTACCTCCAGAGAATTTTCAGGCTGTGATGAAAGCAAGCAAAGTAAGTCTTCCAGAGAGAAAGATGTGTCATTCCCATTTAGATGTCTCTGTAGGAAAACACAAAAGGTGCACTATTCATTAAATTAAAGGGCTGTAGTGGTTGCCTGGAACTTTAGGTTTTATCTTCATGCTGTATTTTTATCCCTATCTTGGGGGGTTTTTACACCCTTCTTTTAGGTACTCAATATTCTCACATCCTTCCTTAAATAAGAGCCTTCAGCTTGAAACTCCTCCCCTATTCCTGCCATATCTTCAGATAATTTTTACCTAGAATTTTTAGTTTCATCTTATTTTGCCCCTCCACAGCCAACCCTCCAAATTTGCTGCAAAATTATCTAACTTCACAGTCAAATATGTATTTAGATGTACCCAAAAACTCCTTTCTTGCTGAAATTCCTCCTTTAATAGCTCTCTTTAGAGAGGTTGCTCAAGTAGTAAACTCTTAGTTTTCATAACCTGGAATCATTTTGCTTTCATGTTTAAGTGGTAATTTATTTGGCAAGATTATCAGGTTTCATATTTTCCCTCAGTACTTTGTCCTAAGGCACTTATTACTATTGATTTGTTTGAAATCTGTCATTTTATAGGCAATCTTTCTTTTCCTCCAGTAATTTTAAAGATGTTTTTCTCATTCTTTGTTGTCCTGCCATTTCACATCGATACACTTGGAACTTTGTATTTGGTCTGCTTGGGACTCTGCATTCCTTTCATCTGAGTCATAACATTTTAGTTTTGGAAATACTTTGCCATAAACTTAGAAATTGCTTCTCCTTCATGCTTTGTAATCTCTCCTGGGACTAGTAGAGAGCTCATCTTTGTTGACAGCTATTTCTGTAGGAATCCTACATATCAAGGGTCACCACTAATTACAAGGCAGTTTTGTGTTTTTTCTCTGCAGGGGTCAGTATTTCTTTTTGTTAAGACTGTATTTATTTTTTAGAGAAGGGAAGGGAGGGGAAGGGAGAGAGTGGGAGAAGCATTGATTCATTGCCTCTCACACACCCCAAGCTGGGGACCTGGCCCACAACCCAGGTTCGCACCCTGACCGGGCATCAAACCTGCAACCTTCTGGTTCGCAGGCTGGCACTCAATCCACTGAACCATACCAGCCTAGCCTGCAAAGAACAGTTTTTATATCGCTTTCTCAACTTTGCCTTCTTGGCTCAGGATTCCTGATGGTAATGGTAGGACGGACCAGACTCTCTATCTGGCTTTGGGGTCCTGTTTTCTAAAGGGTAGACAGAGAGCATCCTCGCTCTGTCTTCTACCCAGCTGCAAGAATTATCCTAGTCCCCATTTCCTCAACCAGAGACCCCCAAACAGGGAGCTCAGGTGGCCCACATGTGGGCTTGAGATCTCATTTCCCATGCTCTCAGCCCATCTCTATCATGGCCTCCTGGGTCCAATTACTCAAGATTCTTCAGTTTGGTGCCTGACTGTTTTGCATTGTGGATTTGAGTCCCTTCTTTGTTTTTTGTATCTGTAAACTTTCCCTTTCTTGCTTTTCAGTTGAATTATGCACTAAAAATATTACCCCCATTATATTTAATTCAGGATTACTGTTTTTGATGTGTCGTGGGGATTATCATTACAGGTTAGTAAATTCACATTCCCAACTTGTGCTGTGTGTCACTCCCTAACTTTTTACTTTAAGGTTTCCTTTTTTGAAGATTCAGACCAGTAGGACTGAAGCGTATATGTATATAAATACTGGGTGTCCTTTTCCACCAACACTTTGGTTCTATGAAGCCATGTTTTCAAGGTATTTCATTGTAATACAAGGCATTATGTGTCCTTTTCTATACAGGCTGTAGGACTATTTAAGCTAAGTTGGTGGATAAGATTTCTTGCTCTTAACTGGCAAGTTATGCATTCTTAGTGGATAGCAGACTTCTTTGCCAATTGAATTGTTATTTGAAATGATTCCTGTTTCTGAAGAGATGTCAGAAGTGATCTATTACTTCTATTAATGACCCCAAACTTGATTAGTCCCGGCCAACCACTGACCCAAATTTGCTGATAGTTATAAGTGTATGAGAATGGATAACACCAGCACAATCTTGTAAAAACAGTCCATAATGGTGGGTAACATTTGAAGAAAAGAAGGCCTTAATATTTAGAATACATAAGTAAGGGTATGAGGATCATCCTGCTTAAATAGAATCAGTATGGACTGATCCCTTCAGGCTAAGTCAGACATGTTTCATTAAATCTTTTCCCTGTTCCTCTTCAGTGCCCCAGGAGATGGTGGGCTAGGGGGCTAAGCCACATTGATCTAGCCCTCTGAATGGGTCCACAGGAGACAGAGGCAAGAGATGGGAGAGCAACAGAATGCCTTAGAGACAACAGCTCCTGCGGATCAATTCCAGCTCTCATTGAGCTCTCTATCTCCCCAGGTTCCCTTCTGTCCTGATAGGGGTAATGGCTTCACGTTGTTGCTAGCCTCTGGGAGCCTCCCTGTTCCTTAGTATTTCCCTTAAACCTGCCCTCACCTGTTTAAAAACAAAAAGTCTTCTCATTCACTTCTCCTCAGAATCTCATCGGCACGTGCCTTCCTTTAGAAAGCCTAACAGTGGACATCATTCTATTTGAAGTCATTAAACAACAGAGTTCTCTCTACCACACTTAAGAAATTACACAGAACAATTTGTGAGACATTTGTTTTTATAGAACCTGGTAAAACCATTTCAAAATCTAATTGCTTAATTCTTTCTGTTCAGCTGGGTCTAGATCTTGCACAAAAATGGACAACCCACCTATTCGTACAATTAATCCAAAAGACATATCCCATACTTTCAGTTTGATTTCGTTTGCCAGGAAGGGGTCAGTCTTCTCCTTTTTCCTTAAGTCAGACTCTTGTAAATCTTACCATAACATACACAGTTCTATTTTGGGTCAAGAACTCACTTCATTTTGAACAGAGATAACTAGGAGTATTCAAAGAATACGATGCACATACATTTAACTTCGTAAAACATATCTTTTAAAAGTGAAACATCAATATAAACTCAACTTGTCTTTAGTGAGAAGAAATTCTCTTCAGACCAGTTAGTCTACACACAGTGTATTTAGTCTTCATTAATAGCCAGCAGTCTAAGTATGGGCCTGCAGTGGGGCTAGGGACAAGTCACTGTTAAGTAGCAAATTACATCATTTGCCCTAGCTATCCCCAAGGTTATCACCTGAAAGAATGGAAATAAGTACTATTGCAACAAACTGTAAGAGCGCCACATCAGAAGAGTCAGCTGATGTTAACGAGACACATACCAGGAACGTGGAGGTGCAAGATGAGGACCTGACCGTGGATTCAAGGGCTGGGACACAGAGCCTTGCTTGGGCTGATTAATGTATTTCTGGAAAGTTTTGTCCAAATTGATATTTGTCCTAATTCAGATTGTATTTTAGATTCTCTAAGGAAGCTCCCCACTTCGTCTATCCCTTCATTACTGGCATTTAATGAGTGCCTACCACGTATCTAGCTGTAGGTGAGTTCAGGTAAATCTGAGAAAACAGTTCGCACTTTTCTGGGAAGCCCAGTGAGGGAGTAAAGGCTAAGGCATGCTCAGGAGAAAACTGCACCAACAGCATAAATCTACAAAACAATGAAGTGGTAAGACTGACAAAAACATCTCCTTCCAAAAAGATGACTGTGAGGCTCTCAGGAAAGTGGGCTGAAATGCCTCCTCCCAAATGTTTTTTGGGGGGCGGGGGGGTTGGGGTTTTGTTTTGTTTTTATTTTGGATGGTCTAGAAGTCACGAGGGCTGCCTTGGATTCCACTCCAGGCACAGGGAAGGATTCGCTCTCCTAGAACCAGAGGGAACAGGCTGCAGGGGTAAGAATGGTGAGTAGGCAAAGAGAGCAAATCTGTTTTCTGATTTCACCCCATCAATGCTGTGATGTTTGGTGTAATGTCACACGGTCAAGGAGACAGTGATAGACTGACTGGAGAGGGCCACAGCACAGGACCCTCCATCCTCCAAGGGTGTTCAAGGCGCAGCCCCAAGCCCTACCTGGGGCAATCATGGCTGAGAAAACCATTAGGACAAGACCCTCACGGGTACCCCTTTAGGGTGAACGGGTAAGTGGTTTAAAGTCTGTGGAACCTCTGTGCCCATCTCCGGAGCATTTGCCAGGCTTGTGGGCTGCGGCCTCAGCAGGGCTGAGAAGAAATCGGAGTGCGGCCAAAGTGAAGAAGGGGGAAGCACAGGCCGCAGGGGAATCATCCCACCAGCCTGGCTCTTGGAGCTCATCCTTCTCTACCACTTCTCACTGCCCAAGTGTGGTTATTCATAGACACAAGAGCCCAGGAGTCTGTCCCTACTGGCACTGGCCTTAGTCTAAGCCAGAGCTATAAATGGGCTCCTGGGTGCCCATGGAACATGGCCCATCTGGTACTGAGGGTGATTTGCCTGCAGGTGGCTGGATAAGGACTCCTGGATACAGGATGCCAGCCCTGTCTTTATCGCCTGCCATGGCAAATACAACTAACACAACCTGCTAGCAAGTTCCAGGAGGGGTATAGGTGTGTACACAGACACAAACTATCTCAAGTTTAACCGGAGACACCTAATCCTATGGGCTGATTCCTTTTTAAATCAAATAAAAACAAAAACGTGTCCTTTTCATATAACTGATTTACTTACAGTAGGTCATACTTACATACAAAATTCTTTCAACACACATTGACAAAGCCTTACAAAATCTACCCTTAAAGCCAAAATGGTAAGGCTGGGAGATTCTGACATGCTTACCTCATTTCTAGGTTCAGTGGTCTTTTCTGCCTCCCACTCGGGTTTCTCTGCTCTTTTATTTTCATCTTCATTCTTCTGATGTAGTGATTTTTCCTTCTGGGCTGAAGACACTCTTTGCTCATTTTCCTCCTGCTGGGAACTGTGACCCACAGCTCTTAATACCTCATTCTCCTATAAAAGCACCCCAAAAATGTGCTAAGTAGAAATCCATTATTTCATCAAGTAAGTAAACAATCTTTAAAGCTGCATTGTACTTACTGCTCAGGGACCATGAACACACACAAGGCAAAAGCTGAGACTGACATTTCATGATCAAAGAAATGTTTAATTCTGAAACAAAGCTCAGTTTTGAGTCTTGTCTTTTTTAAGAACTCACTGTGAGACAGGCTGTTCTAATCTGTAGACTTTAATTATATGCAATTCTAAAGCCCCTGAACTTTTGTAAATTTGATTAGATTTGGAAAGCAATGTTGCCTGCAGTTTTTATTTAGTTTTCTGTTAAAAATAGATCAAACAGCCAATTTTGAAGCAAACACTAATCAAATACACACAGAAAAATCTGGAAAGTATTACAAAGTATTCACTGTGGCTGTCTGAAGCTGGAATCAGTTCGGGGCAGGGTGCTTAAAAAGAGTTGACTTCACTTTATACATTAATGTACTGTTGGAATATTTTGCACAAACGTATTTCTTTTATACACAGGAAAAGGGTAAATATGTTTTTTAGTTCAAGAAAGTAAACAATAAAGCTTAAACTAACATCTCCACAGGTATTTTCAACTATGCTTATTTACCTAGGTGAGTCCTTCCACCTTTTAATTCACTTTAATTGAGGAGCCTTAAATAATTGAAAGGCTAGAGAATCTATCTAAACATTCAAATAGTTACTATTTCACATATACTGTGAATCCCAATACTTTCCATTGTGATAGTAAAATCTCTATAATTTTTTTCCCCCTTTGACTTAACCAAGGCTTCTGAAAATCTTTCAAAGGACCTGTTTTTCATTTCTTTCTTCCAAAGACATAACATACTGGACTAACTCTACATTAGGACAGCACCACCACCACCACCACCACCACCCACTCGGAAGCACAGAAATGTTAATCTTACCAAACAAACACGTGAAGGTCAAAGAAATGAAAACCTACAGATGCCAGAGCAATGGGAAAAATCAAAGCAGAGCAGAAAAAGGAAGCTGATGTGCTGCTGGCCCATTTGCTCTTTCCTCGTCTCCCTGTTTACTGTACTCTGTGACAGAGACTCAGCCTTCCTCTTGACGCTAAGGATGTCGGTCTCCACCGGTCCCTGTACGCACCTGAGGACAAGGAGCTCCCTTGCTCACAAACGCCTCCTTTACCCTCCTTTCTGCACCAACGATTGTTTCCCCGTCTCATCAGCCTATTAACATACACTACCACCACCCATCTTTACAATCCTCTCCCTGGATCTTACATTACTCTTCAGAGTTTGTCCCATTTCTTAGAAAACCCTCCAGACATCTGGAGTGAATGCATTCTCTGCAGAATCTGTTCCAGCGAGGATTAAGGCCGCACCGTGGGTCCACAGAAAAGCTCATCAGGGCCTCCCCTCGTTGGCCAGCCCTTCACCCTCACCTTACTTGACCCCGCAGCAACATTCACATAGTTACCCTCTCCTCCTGGAAGCTGGAGGTAGTTCACCTGGCATCCAAATACCTTCTCTCTTCAATCTCCTGAGTCACCAACTACTCCTTTGTTGATCTTTGACCTTTACTATCTCTGAACGAGATACTGGCCCAAAGCTCAGCCTCAGGCCCGCGAAGCTTTCTCCCACAGGTTAAGCCCTCTCCCTCTGACGGCTTCTCTCCCCCTCCCCTGCCCTCACCCCTGTGGCTTCCTGTAGGTCCCCATTCAAATATTACCATCTCACTTTTCTTTTAAAGCAACCCCTCCCCAAACCCCTGTTCCTATCAGTATCTATCTCCCTTATCTTTCTTTATTTTTCCCCACAGCATTTAGCACCAGCTGCTATATTACCACACTTATTTCTTTGAGGTCTATCTGTCCCACTAGAAGGCTAGCCTTGCGGGCAGGGACTCCGGCTGATTCCTGCTGTATGACACACAGTAGACCCTTAATAGGTATTTGCTGAATAGATAAACTAGAGACAACATCCTAAGAGGGTTCTGACTTCTAGTGGGTGAGGCACTACGGTCTTGCTTTTTCCTAAAATTACAATGCTGACTCCTGTCTAAATTTGAGGAAGGAAGAAAACAGTCCTCACTCTTTGTCTTTGCCAAGGCAAAGTTTCTTTTGTTAGGCCTGAAGATAATCAAATCCAAACTTCTGGATTCCTGAGGCAGCTGACTTTGTTTACAAAATTTGCTGTTGGTAGGCACAGGACTTCTAATCCCTTAATGACATGATCTATTTTAGAACCATTAGCCAAGGTACCCTCAGTTAATTTGTAAATTTGAGTTAATACAACACATGTGGATCCACACATGAACTTGCAAACACAAGACTATGTAATCTATAATGTTATATTAACAATTACAGGTAAGCAAGGACTAGATCAAGCCCATAAGGAAACAAATCAAGTAAACTTTAGTCTGGGAAGATCTTTTTGTGGGAAAATTTTTTAGAGATTGGTAAAGAAGGTATGTAAGATGGCTTAACATACTTTTAACATGCTTTTAAGTTTACATATGTAAAACTTAGGAAGAAAAGAAGTGCATTTCTCTATATGACCACCCTCACATTGCAAGAATCAATTAGGTTAAAAAGCCTATCATATACTAAGGGGTCATTACTCATTAAATGTGTTAAAGAGACTCAATGACTCCATTTGAATGTACACAAGCAAAGGAAAAAAAGGAAATCTTACAGTAGAATGCAACTTATAAATATAGAAGAATGATGGAGTTAGAAAATCATCAATGGACGCTAAAACTACAGAGTAAAAACTTGATGAGAAACAAGATATTTAGTCTGGAAGCATCACTCCACAGGTTATTTTTTAATTACAAAGAGAAAAATAACACTACATGAGAAACCTGGCAAGTACCATCTAAACCAACTGGTCAAATCTATCAGCACAATATGGAGATAAACCAACATCATGTGCCTCCTGCTATGGTATGATACATTACTGCCTCTGTAGTATTCCTTCCCTATATTTATAATCTCAATATAATCATGAGGAAACATCGGACAAATAAAAATTGGGTCCATTTTACAAAGTAACTGATCGATACTCTTCCAAAATCTAAAGGCCAAGAAATCTCAAGACTGAGAAAATTCTTTCTAGATTAAATGTGACTGAGACTTGACAGCTAACTTCAATGGGCAGTCTTGGGTTAGATGCTGACCCAGGAGAAAAAGTAGTTATATAAGACATTACTGGGATGGTAGATAAAATTGGAACATGACAGATTCGTCTTCTCTAGATTCATGGTAAATATCCTAATTTTGATATTGGTTATGTTGGTAGCAAGAAATGGCAGCAGGTGCTGGTCGAGTGAAATCAGGCCAGACTTCAGTTCAGCAACCGGAGTATTTCAGTTCTGGCTAAGAAAGAATTCAGAGCCAAGTCTCAATCTATAAGAGAAAGTTTATTTCGAAAGTCACAGATGTAGAAGTGAGCTGTAGAAGGAATGGGCTCAGGAAACAAGAGGCAAAAGAAAGAGCCCTTGAAGCTTAGGAGAGAAAAGGGTAAAGGTAGCTTGCCCATGGCGGGTGGGGAAGGGGAAGACTAAGGATGGGAGGGAAAAGGCCAGGAGTGCTTCAGGGAGGGAGGGGCCTCTGAGTCCTCCATCTTGAGGGTATTTATCTGGAGGTCTCAGGGGAGGATCCCAATAGAATATTCATCAGCTTTCCAGGTGTGTCCTTTGAGGGTTGAGGTGTCCAATGATTGCACCAGGGCAGGGGGTCATTAGTCAATGCAGCTGGTCCTGATGTCAGCCACAGTATCACCTGTCTGGTTGTGCTGCTTTTCTGGGCCTGGAGCTGAAGCACAACTGAGGCCTAGATGTGGGTCAGAACCTCATTATCCTGGGGGCTTAATGCTTAAGGGCTAATGCTCTGGCTTCCCCCTTTACAGGAGTCTAACCCACACGACCAGAGTTATGCATAGCAGAGAACATGTTTTCCTGAGGACAAGGTCCTTGTTTTCCCAGTTTTGCCTGTTGCCAGGCACCTGCGGCTTTCCCCCCTGGTGACCCTCCGGTACAAGACCTATGCTTATGTCTAACTGCCTACCACAGGTATGGAGAAATCATTGTTTTCAGACAATACACACTTAGGTATTCAGGTACCAAGGGGCACAATGGCTTCAGTTCACTCCTAAATATTTCAGAACGAAAAGGACTATATACTGTATGTGTATACAGAGATAAATATAATTAGAAAACTAGATAAATCAAATGTGGCAAAATGTTAACAATAGTACATTTGAGTAAAGGACATAAACTAGTCTTGCAAGTTAAAAAAAAAAAAAAAAAAAGCCCTGGCTGGTGTGACTCAGTGGATTGAGTGCCGGCCTGCAAACCAAAGGGTCGCTTGTTCGATTCCCAGTCAGGGCACATGCCTGGGTTGCAGGCCAGGTCCCCAGGAGGGGATGCACAAGAGGCAACCACACATTGATGTTTCCCTCTCTCTAAAAGTAAATAAAATCTTTAAAAAAAAAAAAAAGTTATCCTAAAAATTCCTACACAGCTAATGTGTGCATAATATTCATCTGTGTCTAACACTGCGTTTTGCATTCAGATCTTAACCACACAAACACCATGCAGCCAAAGAATAAGTTGGGATCATAGTACTGGTCTAATGCTGTCTCACTGCACATAATTTACTATTGACCAGCTTCTAAATTCCCACACAGGAAAAAAAAATTCCTATACAGCAAAATCACTTCAGCCACAGTCAACAGCAAAGGGTTCTTCCAAAATTATTCTTCTGTTAATTTGTATTTCCCCCTCAAAGTGAATAGCATATCAACTGCTTGAATAATTATTTTCACCTCTTCCTTTTCATCATTTAAATTTCATATTTAATTTTCTTGTCTAATTGCTTTGGTTATGCTTCTAGAATAAGGCTCAATAATAATGGTATAAATGATAGAATGGTATAAAGGAAAATACTTATCTGTAGTCTTAAAACTCTACTACAACACTACCCCACTTCTGGCAGCAAATGTGTGGGTCTCCACACACCAAGCAATTCTATGATACCAGCAGAGTGTCCTAGGGGAGCAGAATTTGCCACCTCAAAATATGTCTCTTTGGTGTAGGATTATTTTAGTCTGGTTATTTTTAAGGAACAGCAGGCTAGCACTGACTGGTGTAGCTCAGTTGGTTGGGCACCACCCTGCAAAGTAAAAGGTCGCTGATTCGATTCTCAGGCAGGGCACATGCCCAGGTTGTGGGTTCACTCCCCAGTAGGGGTGTGTGCAAGAAGCAACCAATCCATGTTTCTACCTCACATCGATGTTTTCCCCCTCTCTTTCTGCCTCTCTTCCCGTCTGTATGGAATCAATAAAAGAACATTTTTTTTAGAAAGAAGGAAAAAGAAACAGCAGGCTTAAGCTCTGGCCAGGTCGCTCTGTTGGTTAGTGTGGTCCCAATATGCCAAGGTTATGAGTTCATTCAATTCTTGGTCAGGGTACATACAACAATCAACCAATGAATGCATAAATAAGCATAACAACAAGTTGATGTCTCTCTCTCTCTCTCTCTCTCAAAAATAAAAGAAAGAAACAGCATGCTTCAGAGAAGCTGTGAAAACCAAGTAGAAGTTACCCTCTGTAAGAGACATCTGCAGAAGTGAGATTTCCATTTGTAAGGGTAGCTCCCTCACTGCACTAGGAATCACAAAACTCTTTAATAAAGAGAGGGCAATGACTTAAATCTGCATAGCCCTACCCTTGTTCAGTGTTGTTTTCCTGGAATCCTCCCAAAATAGACTCCTCCCTCCCCCAATAACTTCTTTTATCTTCAGCTGAGTATGGTATTTAAGGTGGTGGCTTAGGCCATTTCCAAGGGAGTTGTATCTCCGTTTTTCTGGGTCTCACCCACGTATACAGAAGGTATACATATTATTAAACTTTTGTTTACCTCCTGTTAATCTATCTTATATGAATTTATCATATACAGAAGAACCTAGAACAGAAGAAAAAATTTTCCTTCCCAACAGTGTCTTTAATTTAGCTCAATTCTGACATTATCTACCTGGATACAGCATCAGATCCCACAGGTTAAGGGCTCCGCCTCACAAGACTGCCCTGCTCCCCTTTAGATGCCAAATGCCAAGTCTAGGCTGTCCTCTGCGTTTGCAACCAACTGGCAGTAAAAATCAGAAGTTCCCATAACCCCCACCCCTTGGATTCCAGTAATTTGCTAGAGCAGCTCACAGATCTAAGGAAAACATTTTACCTACTAGATTACAGTTTTATTATAAAAGGACACAACTCAGGAACAACCAGGTGCACAGAGCACGGAATGTGGGAAGGGGCAAGAAGCTTCCATGCCCTCTCTGGGTTCGCCAGTCTTCTAGCCCCTCCACCAACCCGGAAGCTCTCCGAACCCCATCCTTTTGGATAGGTAACCATGCCTATCATCACACAGGAATGATTGATCAAATCATTGGCCTGTGGGGGGCCCTGGCAGGTGTGGCTCCGTGGACGGAGCTCCAGCCTGTGAACCCAGGGCGAGGGTCACCTCCTCCATTCCCTGTGAGGACACAGGCCTGGGTTGGGAGAGGCAGCTGGTGGATGTTTCTCTTGCACGACATCAATGTTTCGCTCCCTCTCTTTCTTCCTCCCTTTCCCTCTCTCTAAAAGTAAGTAAGTAAATAAATAAAATCTCAAGAAGAAAAATCATTGGCCCTGGTGCTTGATCTCAATCTCTAGTTACTCTCTTAACTTTCCTAGAGGTCTGGGGCTGAAGTTCCAAACTTCCAATCACTTGGCTGGTTCCCGAAATCGAGCTCCCGTCCTTAGGGGCTTTCCAAGCCACCTTCCAAGTCACCTGATTAACGTAAGTCAGGTGTGGTTAAAAGAGGCTTGATATAAATCACAAGACATTCCTTTTCCATTTTGGTCCCGGAGCTATTTCAGAAACTATGAACAAAAGACTAATTATTATAACCAAAGATGCTCCCATTCCTCCTAACATTTAGGAAACTCCAAGGGCCTGGGGAGCTCTGGGCCTGCAAGAGGGATAAAGACCAGACACATATTTAAATCACATCATCACACCTGACTTTCTTTCCTGCTTGTGAATTTAATGGGATACTTTTTTCAGTTTGTGCCGTTATAATGCTTTCAATTTTTTTCATTTACAGCTGCAGTACACTATTAAATTAGCTTCAGGTATACAGCAGTGATCTGACATTTATGTAACTTATGAAGCAATCAACTTGATAAGTGTAGTATCCATCTGACACCATACACAGTTACTACAGTATTATTGACTATATTCCCTATGCTGTACTTTACATTTTTTAAAGGGATGCTTTCAATACTTCACCAGCAAGGGTGACGGGGACTTTTATTTGAGATTCAACAGGTCATCACTTTTTTAGTCATTCGTTCAATCAATGCAAGTGCCACGTACTGCACTAAATGCTGGGGATATAAGAGTGAAAAAATACACACAAGACTGCCCTTTTGGAGCTTACATTCTAAAGGGAGGGGGAGCCAAAAATACAGGCAAACTAACAAAGTAAGTGCAAGTTTTATGGCAAGTGAAAGAAAAAGAGGGGACCTACTTTAGAAAGAGCGGTCAGTCAAGGGAGGCCTCGCTGAGGGGAGGTGATACCGTAGCTGAGATCTAAACAAACAGCTGTGTGACAAGAGAGGAATGTATTCAAGACACAGATAATATCCATCCTGTCCTCATTTGCCTGCTACCATAACGTGTGCAATGAAGCTTCTTATGATGGGTATTTAGTTGTTTCCAACATTTTCTCACAACGAACAGTAGTAAAATGTGCTCATAAATACTTCTTTGCACACATGTGCAAGCAGCATGAATCCTTAGAATTTATGCTGGGTCAAGAGGTATGTGCACTTTTTATCTGGTGGATTCTACCCAATAGCCCTTCAAAGATATTTATGGTAATTTAAATTCCTACCAACAATGGATAAAAGTGTCAATTTGTAGATGAAAACTGTCATCTCATTGTTGTTTTAACTTGCATTTCTCTTATTAACATGAGGCTGAACATCTTTCACAAATTTAAAAGCTTTTTGTATTTCCTTTTCTGTGAACTGTTTGTGGCCTTATTAGCCATTTCTTGGGGTTAATCCTGTTCTTATTGATCAGTAGTAGGACTGAAGCAGGAGATAGTCAGGAAGCAGGAAACTCCAGAGGTGCCCCAGGGCTAAGATAAAGGACACGGATAAAGGGCCCATGTTCTAAGACTGGTAGTTTCTGCATCTGGAAATAGTGAATCAGGGCCGCACCTGCGCAGACGATGTTACCTGACCCCTGCCTCATAATAATATCATTATAATAAATTAGCATGGTGGGACCGTCTTCCCAGTAGCCAATCAAGGAAATCATGGGAGACCTACCCTAAGGAATAAAAGCCCTCTATAGTCCCTGAGTTCGAGGCTGCTGCTGTTAGGCTCTTCTCTGCTCCGCTCTACTCAAGAGTTCGCATGCTCCCATATTCTGTGTGTCTTAATAAATCTGCTTTCTCTCGCTTTCTGCTATAAACTCTGTGTTGGGTTCAATTTTTTGTCCACGAAAACCAAGAACCTGGTTACCTGTGCCCACCTGTGACAGGACCCTGTCATCTTTACCACCTCCCATCTAGTCTCTGCAGCAATGCAAGAGTACAAGGAGGGAGACCAGGTAGGCTACTGCAATCATTGAAGTGAGAGTGGATGATAGTCCGGAAAAACTGGTAACTGATAGAGAAGTGGAAGAATCCACAACATATTGTGGAGAAAGAATAGCTCGGGACTGCTGGGAGATGGGAAAGGAAAGGAAAGCACTAAGAATGACTCTGAGATTTCTGGCTTAAATAACTTGGTGGATATGTTAAATTTGAACTGTGAAAAGTCAAGTAGAAATATCCCTTACACTGGAGACATGAGGGTCTGGAATTTGGAGCAAAGGCTTGAACTGGAGGTATAAATGGGGAACACATCAACATAAACAAACAAACAAAAACAGGGACTAGTAATAAGATTTCAGCCCGAGAGTACAAAGAAGGCCTGAACGCTGGCCCTGCGCCATTAATTCAGAGAAGCCAGCAAAGAGGCTGAGGAGAAAGAACAGGAAGTGCGGTGAGGGGCGTGGGGACCGCAGGAGGAGGTTGCGGGGGAGCAGCAGTGTCTAGGAATCCAAGTGTTTCGGAAGAATGGAGCGGTTGATTGTGTTGAATGTTGCTTGGAGGTGGCACAAGGGAAGAAACAAGTGAAGATGTTTCCTTTTGCCATCCCTTGGATATGGCAAAAGGAAAGCTGTTGGCATCCTTTGAAAAATCAGTTTAGGGTCAACGCCAAATGACAGTGCGTGAGAAGTAAATGGGGAGGTGACAAACTGTAAACAGTGTACAGTAAAATCTTTCAAGAACTTTGGCGACGAAGAGGGGAAATCGGTCAGAGTAGTGTTTTTTTGAAGAAGAAGAAGAGAGACACTAGAATATGTTCGTAAGGGAATGATTTAGGAGAAAGGGTAACTGCCAAGCAAGGTGCACCAGAAGACAATAGAGGAGGAACTCCAGAGTACCTGTGGCAGGACTGATTTTGACAGAAAGAAAATAGAGCATTTATTTCAAGTGGATGCAAGATATTTGAGGATTTGGGTAGTAGAAGATCTCTCTTCTCTTATTTTTGAATGGTGTTGTTAAAAAAAGTAGAATTTAAGTGTTTT